AATAATTTGATTTTACTCAAATCACGATACCACGGAAAAGAGTATCAGCATTGATGAGACAAAAGCTATTCGTCCTACTTGTTCACGATGCAGATCGAAATCATGAAAAGCCATTCACGCCTTTTAATTACGGCCAACAACAACAACAACAAAAAACGCTTTGCAATGTATAGACGAAATTTATTATGCATTTTTTAGCGCTCCAAGCTATTAAAAATGTTGTATAATTTACTAAGAAAGTTTAACTGGTTAATAAGTCGTATGAGGTTGTAGTTTTCTATGCTTACATTGTAAATYATTTTCTCTTGTTGTACCAGAGTCTGTTGGCTATAAGACAAAGCATAAACGAAAGACAACACCAAAGAGATTGGCTCCTTCAGAAACAAGCTACAACATGGCTCAGCCCAGTCCTTTTGCCATATCCCAACAGAAAGAACATGGTACGGGTCTGGAAACCMACTATGARCCAAACCACCATTWTCAGTTCYCTGTGGCCGGAGAATGCTTCTCAAGCTACCCTATGCTTCCTCCTTACCCCATTGAGACTGATGCTACCTACAGTTCGCCTCAACTTGCAACAACACTCTCACCAAGCAGAGTTCARATAGTTACAAGCCGTTCTTTTGACAGAAATGATTCTCAGGCAAGACTAGAGGAACTGCAAGTCTCCCCAACTTTGTGTCAGCAATCATATTTGCATGGTAATGCTACTGACAACTGCMTYRTAGCACCACCAAATGTAAAYRCCTTTCACCATGAAAGACCTGCACACTATGGAAACCAAAATGGGATTTTAWGCAGGCAGCAATTTTCAAGATATCCAACACCATTTTAGGTATGCATCAGGAAAATTAAAGATGTGCTGACATGACATCATTCCAGTACATTGTGTATATTTTTTGATTGATGATTGATTGATTGATTGGCTTTTGATTGAATTGGTTGATTGATTGATTGAATCTTTTCTTGAATTGGTCGATTGGTTTTTGATTGAATTGGTTGGTTGATTGATTGATTGATTGATTGATTGATTGATTGATTGATTGATTGATTGATGATTGATGGATTGATTGATTGGTTGATTGATTGATTGATTGATTGATTGATTGATTGATTGATTGATGATTGATTGATTGATGATTGATTGATTGGTTTTTGATTGAATTGGTTGATTGATTGATTGAATTTTTTAATGTTTTTGCTACAGGTTCCAATTAGCAACTAAAATGTTCAGTGGGAAGGACATTCTCTTTATTAGTCATCAACCTATATTGACAGTACTGTGGAGCCCATCATGACTCGATCAAGCACTCTTTTCTTGCCTGTTCTTTCAGGCACACACTCATTTGATTCAGCATGTTATAACTGTAGTTATTGGTTGTAAATCTGTTATGAGTTCACAATTTAGGATTGTTTAAAATTCAGTTGTTCAAGTTATGCCCAGTTGGTGTCATTAAAAATGTGAAAAACAAAACTTTCTGGTTTRTGATTGGTTTCATATTCTAAAGCTTCAGAGGAGATGTTTCTKCTATTTTTCGATTTTTTCTTTTTCATTTATTCTTTCTTTTTTCCATTCCTTCTCATTTCTTTCATTTTTCATTTTCTCTTTTACTTTTCGATTATTTGAATTGTTCTTAATCCAAAATAAATAAAATCCAAATAAACCTTTTATGATGGTGTTGTCTTCCATGTGTTTAATTCATTATTGTAACTAACGATAATCTACATCAGTCAACATTCATATTGTGGACGCACCCTGTTATTGTGGACACACCCAGTTAGTACAGACAATTTCTGTTTCCAAAAAAAAAAAAAACTCAGAAAAGTTTCTTCATTTCCAAAACTGCTGCAACAATTCGGAGAGTGGTGATTGTAACAGGATCGCTTATTGCACAAGACGAGCATATATCTGAGCTTCTATTGATTTTTTTACTTATTTTTACATGTATCTATAAATTTTTTTACCTTTATTTTTTCGTTTATTTGTCTCATTTGTATTGTCATTATTCACGTTTATTCATTATTTATTTTTTAAATACTTTATACTTTACTTTTCTTTACACGTGATAAATCGATAAAAGGCCAAGTTTAGTGCGGTCACCCTGTGTTGTAATCACACCACGCATGCTCTCTCATATCTAAACAAAATGGACGACAATAAAGTGCYGTAGACCTCCCTCTCCAATATGTATGCAATACAGCGTAATTTTAGCCTTCCAGGTACGAATGAACTTCTCGTTTTACCTATTGCTTCATGATATTTTCTTCTTTCCATTCATTGAGCTTTTTCTTTCCTTTAGGCTCGCGTTATGACGCATTTGACGAACCAAGCCCCCTCGATTTCAGCAAAGGTTCGCTGTCAAATCTTTTTGTTCTTTTAGAAAATTAGCCTATATTTATATTTTCAATCACATTTGGAAGTGCTTATATTAATATTTTTCGTTAAATATATATTCTGGAGTTGTGATTAAATGAAAGCAAACRAGACTRTCTTGGCCAGGAATCCAATCCCAGTTCTGGCGACCATGAGTTAATTATCAATTCCAAACTGATTATTTTAACAAATGTAGATCCTGCCGAGAATATGAGAGATGTTCTCAATCAAATTACAAGCAAGGAAGAAATGTCTGTCAATAAAAGAATGTGCTGTGTTAATAACTTTACCAAGGTAACGAGTATACTGTCAGACATAAATATTTATCATTTAAGCTTATATTAAATTTAAATTATTATTTCTCATTTCTCATATTTCTATATTTCTTTGACAGCTGATTCAAAATATAGATGAAAAAGCCAATCTTGGATTTTCATATGAAGATATAATGGTGTGGTAAGTGTGTGATCTTATCAATATTAAGTGACACCCACAATGATATTATGTAAAATGTCATTTTTAAGAGAAAATAAAAGTTAAACTTATGCAAAACAGGACAAATCTCTCAGCTCATAAGAATTAGTCACTGCAATGGTTTTCCTTTGTGTTTATCTAATAAATTATTAGTGAAGTTGATAATATCTTTTTGTCAGTTTGGTTGTACCATTAACTATGAGAGCTAAGGAAGTGCGAGCAGCTGGTTTGAGGGCATTGCGTCACTTGTTCAGTGATGAATCTATGTTCTTAGTCATGCTAAAGCTAMGGCTGGATATTTTGATTGTAAAGTAAGTAAACTAACCATGTGTTTAGCTTTTTAAGTTAGGGTACAATGAAAGGACTTCCTCTTGTGTACAATAGAGTGGTGTCCGTATGACGG